GCATCCTCATAACCATCAGTAACCTGCCGCTTGTTCTTTTTCTTCTTTAATTTCTTTTTTTGACTTTTGCTCATTGGCTTATTAGGAGGTTTAGGTTCATCATTCTTGTTAGGACAACATAGCTTGAAGAATTTGATGACCTCGTCTTCATGGGATTCCAGTGGACCGTGCATTTCATCTTCCTCTTCTCAGCCAATTGGTGTGTTTCTTCTCCCTTCTTCCAGTAGTTTAGCCTTACTTCTAGTAACCATTTGAGATGGAGAGTATGTCCTTCTGCCCTTTAGTGACTTACACAGATGGAAGGGGTGCTTGGAGCATCTTGAAAGGTCTATTTGTAGTGGTTTAAGCTTAGAATCAATGAAAACATAATCCTCACCATCGGAATGGGTGTAAAGAATGGGCCCATCCCTCTCCTTTTCGTGGTCTTCCACTGCATTAGAGTATAGAACCAGGCTCCGTTCATTAATATTTGAAAACGGATCCTCCTCCTCAAGGTCTCCATGATCCTGGTTAAGCAGAGCAGCAAAAGAGTTGTTTGAAAGTGGTACAAATGCAGGGGCAAATGGTGATAACTTCCTAATTGGGATTGGTGGATATAATTCATTGTATGTGTCTGAAATGATGACTTTTGGTTGTTCTCCTCCCTCAAAGATAGTCATATCTCTGTCTGCTGGTGTGGTTTCTACTGTAGAGAAGTCCTCTGACCCTCCTTTGCCTCTTGACTTGTCCTTTGTGCTCGATTGGAGTTGCGTCCAGACTTTCTCATCACGAAAGACAGTGGTTGAGGTTGTTAATATGTCATAATGAGGGTATGTGACTATGCAAACTTTGGAACTCTACATCCCTTGAAAATGTGCCTGCCCGTCAATATGAGCCGAAAACATGTTTTAAAATGATACTATTAATATTTTATAACATAATACAGTGCAATGTCCCTTTGACTGCATTCTTTCCTCAAACAAAATGACACTTAATATTTTATAACGATTGTTCTAGTGTTTTAAAATGGGGGCAATAATCTTTGGAAAGTAATGAGGTAAAAGGGCCATTGCACTATATAATGTATTATGTATACTTGAAGGGTTTTGCAAATGATAGTCAGGAACATTTGTTACCCAAACGTGATGGCCTGTGAATATCTATTTCTGACATTCACACATGAAATATTATCAATAGTGTATACATATTTTTCAAAACCTTTTCTCTTCCCCAGTAAATTTAGTCTCAATCAATAACTTTTTGTGTAATAAACACTTCACATTGACAATAGCAGAACTGCAGAACGCGAAAACCCATTAGCATTAGAGGCTGAAAAATTACCAGACTTTGCAAGATGACTCCACCCGCAATCTCTTTTAGATTGTTCTCTCTCGAAGTTGTTCCACTGCCCACAAGGTCTAAAATTGCATCGGCTATCCCCATCTATATTAGGAAGAAGTGAGGAAATGATAACAGCAACAACAACCTACCCAGTGTTGTCCCATACATTAGGGAACCATGATAGATCTTAAAAAACATACTCAAAAGAAATTGAAAGTGTGATTGTATTTGAAGATCCCCAAAAGAAATGCTGCAAAAGATCTAAAATAGAACGACATATTTCTTTGATGCAACAAATATAGGAAAAACAAACATGACTCTCAGGTGAGTCATAGCATCAAAAGCAGTAATCTGTTTGTGAAAAAGAGAAGAAGTATTTCATTTATATACGTAGTACAATACAAACAGTTAATCTCAATAAGACGGGACTTAAGAAAACTAACAGTCAATCTCAATAAGACGGGACTTAAGAAAACTGAAACTGTTTAAAATAGGTAAATTTGGTCTTACTGCTGGAGCAGCCTTCGATGCTCCATCTGCAGTTGAAAAGGTAACATGATTTAATCCTTTTTCATTCGTAAACTTGGGCCCCATATGTGAAAGAAATGGAGGATGTTAAGGGAAAAATATCATCAAACTTAAAAATAATAATTGTGACCACAATAATATATACTCCGTATCTGGGAAAAAGTAGATGAATATGTCACATTGCAGTACACCATGCATATGTGTAATCCGTAGCTACTATCAAGGGTCTCTCAGGTGTTCAATGTGGCATTTCTGCTAGCTCCTTCAATGAGTTCACATTCTCGAAAATTCCATACTTTGGTATCTGCAGATACGCACTTGTATTCCCAGTCGCACGTCATTATTATTGGAAGAATACTAATGGTGATAGGAATGCACCTAACATGACACAATTTGAATGTTTTGCTATAAAGAGCTCATTGTTACTCACTGTTTGAGATAATCGACAATTTCCATATTCTCGAGGATCATGAACTATAATGAGATCTTCATTCCCCTTCCAAGAAGATGTCAAACAGTCTGCAAAAATCATAATGG